TCCTATTTAGCGCCCAGACTCTGGAATAACCTACCTAGCGTTGTTCAGGAGGCAGACACACTCTGTCAGTTTAAATCTAGATTAAAGACCCATCTCTTTAACCTGGCATACACATAATACACGATCACATTTCTATAACTCAAATCCGTTAAAGGATTGTTAAACTGCATTAATTAGGTCAAACGGAACCATGAACACTTCCCATAACACCCGGTGTACTCGCCACATCGTAAGAAGAATGGCATCTACGCTAATATTAGTCTCTTTCATTCTTATTCTGAGGTCACCATAGACATCCGGATCCAGTCCGTATCTCTACAACCTCTACAGCCCTGAATGTCAGTGGAGACCATGTCAACTAGATACGCCCCAGAGACAGATCCCCTGCGAAGACCTCATCACCTCGATGACTATCTGCACAAGACCAGGGGAAAGAGACAAGTCCTCTGAACCTGTGTTATAGTCTGCACTCTTTCTTATAGTCTTTTTGCATTATTGACAAACTATTTTCCTGTTTGACACTGTAAAGCTCCTTTTACATAATCAGTATTGTATAAAGCGCAATACAAATAAAAAAAAGGTTAGTTCTTGATAAGTACATCCTTTAACTCATCATTAGTTCATATTAAAATAATATTTAATTAAGGTATTTGTACATGCCTATTCATGAACTTATTGTAAAGTGTTACCAGGCAATATCATGAGCAAGAGTGCTTTTTTTCCTGAATATCTGCACGAATGCAAATAATATTGATATTATTATATTGTTACATTTTTGACACAAAATTGTCAATACTGTCTGTTTTGATCAATTTCACAGAACTGTTGTGCCTTTCTGAGCAACACACAGCTATGTTTTCTTACTGAACGAATCCACGTTTTTGAATGAATCAACTGCGCCTGTGACTCAGTGACCCATTTATAAACACAGTTACTGGCTGTGTTTCTGAATGAATCAGCTGTTTGAAAGAATATGTTGAATCATTGACAGAATGACTCACTCGTCAGGACAGTGACTTGCCGCAACCTACTGACGTTGTTAGTTTCATATTTAGAGCATTTCTTTTTTTTTTTTTAAATCATTTAATATTTCAATATTATTTTTTAACATTAATACCAATTGATTATCATTATTTATGCAATGTTGAATCAAAATATTTATTTTTAAAGCAATTTAAAAATATATGTATGTAATGTAATGTCTATTCAATGCTTTCCTCATTTAACACAATGACTTATCTTTTGGGGGGTAATTTCTCATCCAAAACTGATTTGCAATTAATTTGTGATTAATTAATCTGCACATTATGTAATTAACTAGATTAGAAATAAATTTTTTATAAAATTACTGTATCAATATCTTACTTTGTGGAAGAACTGTTCATTGTGATATTTAATAATAAGTATGTATAAATATATATACACTCACCGGCCACTTTATTAGGTACACCTGTTCAATTGCTTGGTAACACAAATTGCTAATCAGCCAATCACATGGCAGCAACTCAATGCATTTAGGCATCTAGATGTGGTGAAGAAGACTTGCTGAAGTTCAAACCGAGCATCAGAATGAGGAAGAAAGGGGATTTAAGTGTTCTTCCACAAAGTTACCTAGTGGTCCTGGGGGTCGATAAACAACTATAAAATGGATTTTAAGAGGGTGGGTAATAGTGGCTGAATGTGATTCAATGCAGCTCTTGATACTCAGAGATGGTAAAGGATTAAATTTCCAATCATTACAGATAATCAGACCAGTACCTCCACCTCTTCCAGTCAGACGGGGGGAGTGGGAAAAAGAGAAATTACCGTATTGTCCCGAATATAAGACGATGTTTTTTTCTTGGAAATACATCTGAATGGGCCCGGTTGCATGAAAGTCCTTAAGTAATTTGACTTAGGAGTATCCCTGAGGGGGAAAAATTCCCTAAGGTAAGGGATTTCTTTAGGAGCGTTGCAACAAACGTCTTTACTGTCACCCTTACCTAAGTGTTTATACTAAGCGTTTCAGGGTAGTTTCTGACCACATACGGCAATGGGCGCTGCGGTTACTATAATTACCACATCTCACAATAAACATAGATATGTATATATCTATGACAATAAACAGAACATAACGAAATACAAACCTAACCAACTAAAACACGAACAAACATTAAATAAACGAGCGCTGCCTGTTTCTGCGCTGCTTTGTGTACAGTCGATACCGCTTTGTTTCTGCAGTTAAATCGCCTCCTGCTGACTAATGATGGAAAATTTACCAAATGTGAAAATTGACGCTGCAAACACGCAGGGTTGTAAATGTGAACAGGTGGATCGACAAGAAGATAATGCATTATAAATATCTAAACAATTAAGACATACATTACATTTATATTGTTATTTAATTAATGTAATAATTGATTAATAATAATTGTTTAAATTAATATAATAATTGATACAACTCATCCATTTTCTTAAAAAATTATATAAAACTTTTTGTTTTGTGAAAACTTGTAAGTCATGCTTTTTACAGTCATTTTACAGTTTAATATGTTACCATAGTCATTGTCCTACTGTGTTTAATAGCGGTCTAACTGATGACTAGTCTATTCTTGGGCTATGATTAGATGTCTATTAAATTTTAACTGACAGCTCAAATTTAGCCTTGTTTTAGCCTAGATGTCTGGGCTGCGTTTAGACAGCTAATAGACTTATTTTAAACGCAAAATTGCTTTATTTCTTAAGAAATAAATACACTTACAAGCTGCTTTTAACTTCTGCTGATTGACTGCTTCTCACAAAGAGTATTTCTTTACACTGTGTTTTGCATGGCGCTTGAACCCAGCAAGCAATTTTGCATTTAAAAGACGTCTATATCACAATTCAGTGTGTTAAAAAAGAGAGAAGCTCTCTGGTAAATGTTGTGTGTTTTATATACATACCTCTAATGACCGAGAACAGTGCAGTCTTTTCAAATGCCTCTTTCTGCAGCGGACCACCCCCCTTCATGTTGAATTTGGACATGAGGGAATTTTTTTAAAACCCTAAAATATAATACAGATTGAGGTGATTAACAATTGCAGACAAAGTTTGACATTTCAAAATGACCAGTAAAGCAATTCTTTTTTAAATTTCTGATTTGCATTGTAACTGATTGAGTATTGACACCGCAATGTTTGATTAATGTGGCAAGATTTGTAGGCTTTACCTGTCCAACAAAACAAGCGTTTCCTAGCAACGACAACTGCGCTAAACACTGAGACAAGAAATAAATACACTTACAAGCTGCTTTTAACTTCTGCTGATTGACTGCTTCTCACAAAGAGCATTTCTTTACACTGTGTTTTGCTGGCGCTTGAACACACTTTCCTGTTTATCACAACAAATGGCCAAGCAAAGCGCACGACACTGACAAAGTACGCGATACAGTACGAGATCTATATATATGGGGTGTAACGGTTCACAAAATTCACGGTTCGGTTCGATACGACACAGTGGTGTTATGGTTCGGTACTGGGGTAATTGGTTACATCGCAATGTTGGAAATATTTCTGTTTTAAACCACGAAGGCTGATAACGGTATAGCTAACTGTTTTAATTTATTCTCTTAATATTTCTAATATTACATAGTGAAAAAAAAATGAAGAAACATATTTCGTGTTAGGTTGTTCTTGAAAGTCGGTGCTTGAAATAAAAGCTTTTTTTTCATTGATTTTTAATTGATGACTGAAGTGTTAATATTTGAATCATAGGCCTATAATTCATTGTATAATAGACCTGTTTTAACATTTTAATTGAAGAGGACATATATAGCCTAATCTTTTGTTATCCTAACAGCACGTCAGTTATTTGGTAATTATTGCGGGGCAAATTAATTGTACTAATTTTGATTTAATAATAAAAGTAACTTCATAATAATAATAATAGGCCTAATAAAAATAAGAATGTAAGTAACTTCATAATAATAATAATAATAGGCCTAATAAAAATAAGAATGTAACAGGCCTACATTAATTGGAAATGCCAAATATCTTAATATTGCCAACAATTTATGTTTTTGACAATATCTCTATGGCTATCGTCGATACAACACGGGGAGGTTATCGCGGGGCCTTTCGCAGTACGTGTCCTGCGTGCCCGTCCGCTAACTTTATGCCACTGGGCAGACAGCACGTTGCCTGTTACGTCGTTTGGGCTGCCGGACAGATGTCCTGACGTTTTCCTTCATCAGAATTCATTGTTCCATCAATGATGGCAAGCCGTCCTGACCCAGATGCAGCAAAACAGGCCCAAACTATGATACTACCACCACCATGTTTCACAGACGGGATCAGGTTCTCAGAGATCTCATTTGTTTGTGCTGATTATACACTTCCACAAACATGATCAAACTTTGATAGATCCCTGTTCTTTAAATAAAACATGGCAGCAATGACACCTGATAGCCATCTCACTGATTGAAAACATCTCTGAACAAATAAACTCTAATTTCACCTTCAAATTAACACCTATCATATGGCGCTTTTCCACTGCATGGTATGGCACGGTACGGTTCACTTTTTGGGGGGTTTCCACTGGGTACAGTACCTGGTACTTTTTTAGTACCACCTCGGTTGGGGTTCCAAGTGAACCGTACCGTTACCAAAACGTGACGTGTAAACTCTGCTGATCACAGATTGGCCGGAGAGAATCGTCACTACCTGCGTTACTGAACTTGCGACACAAACACAACAGAACCGCTAGATTTTTCACATACTTCTGCCACTCACAAATATGTAATATTGGATCATTTTCCTGAATAAATAAATGACAAAAAATATTTTTGTCTTAATTGTTTGATTGGGTTTTCTTTGTCTACTTTCAGGACTTGTGCGAAATTCTGATTATGTTTTGGGTCATATTTATGCAGAAATATAGACAATTCTAAAGGGTCAGGTCAAATGTTAGTATTTTAACTGCATTTTTTTTTTCTGTATTATAATGACGTAATGTAAACTCATCAAATGTATGTTGTCGCTTACCTGTCCCAGCAGCAGGAGCTGGTCAGCACACTTTTTAGTGTGTTCATAGCTGGATCGTTTCACTTCTTGTAGACGAACACGCTCCAGCTGAAACCTCTAAATGATAGAGAGAAAAAGTGATTTACAAGTCATTTTGTGTTCCGTAGATGTTTTGATCAACAGCATTTGTGGAACATGTCACAGAAAACCATTTGTTTAAATATGAAGTGTGAGATTTCTGCAGCACCAGTTGCAAAAATAATGAATGTTTTCAAACAGTTGTCCAGAATTGACAATTGTTTTATAAAATCATTGATACTGAAGAGCTTTTAACCAGATGGAGTGGGACTCTATATGTTTTGAACAAAATCAGGTTTGATTAAAAATTTAATAATTAGATAAGGTTCTCTAATTAGAATATCCCCTATAATGGCAGTATGTATAAATAATAATCTATCCCCTTTTTTCTTTACAACTTGGCACAAGACATGTTTATCCTTCATTGCCCCTATTAGTCAGAAGTCAGAAAGAGCTTTATTACCAAGTATGTTTATACACACAAGGAATTTGTGTTGGCGACAGGAGCTTTCAGTGCAGAAGAATGTGCAGACATTAGTGCAAACATACATGCCAGTGCAGACATACAAAGGATTTACACAGTAGAGATGAAATATAACACTAATGTGCGAAAAACAGAAAATTAAATGCAATATAATACAGAAGTATAAATATAGAGAAAAAAAACAATTGTTTTAATGAATGTACAGATATGTTATTTACAAGTGTAGAGTTTATGTAGTTTACAAATGTAAAATTTTCAGATGCTATGAATAAATGTGTCAGTTATAATGGACAATGTACAGTTATGAAAGTTTTAATTTTAAGACTGAATATAGCCTACGGAAAAAACTAAAAAGGTTCTTGTGCCTGGCTGTTCTGGTGGTCGGTGCTTTGTATACCAACATTTGAAAGAGAGATTCAAGAGAGATTCACTCAAATGACTTCATGATCACTGACGTGAGAGCAACAGGTCTGTAATCATTAAGTCCAGTGATTTTGTTTTTTTTGGGGACCGGAATGATGGTAGAGCGTTTGAAGCAGGAGGGGACTACACACTGCTCCAGTGATCTGTTGAAGATCTGTGTATCTCAGACTTTTAAACAGGCAGGTGAAACAAAGTCTGTGCATGAAGCTTTCTTAGACTTCTGTTTACTGAAGACCCGGTTCACGTCCTGTACACTTAAGCACAGATTGAATGGTGGGTAGGTGAATATGTGAAGTGCAGATCAGGGTCAGGGTTGCCAGGTTTTTACAAGAAAACCCGCTCAATCACTACTCAAAACTAGCCCAAAACTAGCCAAATCGCGTTTCGAGGGGTCCCAGTGTTTCCCATTCATTAACTAGACTGTGGCGGCCCATCCAAATAAAAGTTCAACTGAAGTTTCCGCCAAAATAAAAGCTCAAGGGTTTATCTCTTACAAGCATGGCTTAAAATTAACAGACGCGCACAGAGAAAATACTGTACAGGTACAGCAAGCTCACTGTTCAGAAGAAAAATTTAAATATTGGGGTTGGGGTTTATATGAATGTATTTCTGAAGGGAACTGACTTCACAAAAGTTTCGATGGCATTTTTTCCCCTCTTATCATTGCTGATCCATAACCACCACCTGCTGTCAGAGAGTGAATTTGCGTTCTCATTCAGCCTGTCTGTTTTTGTTTCATGCAGGTTTTATCTTTGTATCTTTGTTTGTATCGTGATTAAAATGCAGTGGTTGGTTCTAATTTCAAATAGCTTTTTTTAATTAAATATGTTTAGTTGTTGTAGTAGTAGCAACTGCCCGTTTTTTTGCAAAAACAGTTTAATGGCAAGGAAAAATATTTATGGCCGGTCAAGTTTCTCAAGTCATTAGCCACTGGCAGATGTGAAAGTTAGTTTTAGGCCCTGCTTGCAAGTGTAGAAATTCTCCTTTAAATTTCAAGAACAAGTACATTCACCAGCTTTTTTCTTTTACTTTGCACAATGAACCTGTGTTGGAGCTATTAATTTTGAACTCTCAAAGTGCACCAGATTTATGAATTTAACTTTAAAATGTAAAAAATTTTCTTATTTAGGGGTGGGGGACTACGACATACCCTTTACGGCATTGGTTCTGGCTTTTGTTTACACAGGGCTCGTTCCGGGACTGATCCCGGCAATGTTACTAGGTCCCCATACCCATGTTTGCATTCACACAGAAGGCACACACGTTACCAAATATTTTATTAAATACAAAAACTCTTGTGGTCCTGTGTTGAAAAAATAATATGACGTTTCTGTTGTTAAAAACTATGGTCAGGACTACCGCTAGCAACTAGCCTATTTGGCCTCCATAGCTAAAGCTAAGCAAAACAAGCAAAAAGGACATGCATTGATGTAATATATGACAAATCATGACATAACACTGACATTACAAACAATGTACCAATGTTAGGCTGTGCAAATAATCGAATGCGATTTTCATGCGCATCTCGTCAGTAAAGCCGGTTCTGTGATTAGTAGTAAATCTCCAGCACGTGCTTTCAGATGGAGCGGCATCGCAGGCGATTCATTGCAGATTATGAACGCGATATTCATCCCTCTTATTCTGTGAAAATTATTAACATTTTGCATATTCTTCAAGGGGTATGTAAACTTATGAGCACAACTCTATATACATATATTAAACTTTGGAGAAATCATTAAGAAAACTGGAATGTGTTTGAGGTGAAATGTGTAGTTTTGAGAAATGTGTATTTGTTTTGAGAACTGAATAAATGGCTTGGGAAATTGTACCTACTGAATCAGTTATAGTGTGTTAGCAATATGACAGTTTGTTCTGTGGAGTATTTATGCATTCCAGTATAATATATGACCTACTATATTATAATTTCTACTAAAACATTACATGGTTGAAGTATTTACTCATGGGCCATTGCTTACATTGACTTAATCTTTAACTCTTTCCCCGCCAGCATTTTTGAAAAACGTTGCCAGCAACCGCTAGCGATTTTGATGATTTTCACTAAAATTTGATGACATCCAGTATATTTTGCTGTATGAATATTTGAATATGCAATACACCAAAATAAAGATCAGAGCCTCTACTTTTAAACAAAAAAAAAAATCAGTTTTATTCTAGCTTAAAGCATTCTTGTTTTATCAACACTTGAATATAGGCAGGTTTCATAAAAAATTCATAATTTTGACCAAAAAGGTAAGAAAATCACATTTTTTATCAAAAACTACATCTGGATAATATTCAGTACGATTATCAAAGCCTAAATCCAGTAAATCGCTTCCATAAACACCTTCAAAGCTTGCACAGACATATACCACTTCCTGGATCAACATTTTACTCTGTAACATTATGCAGTTTTCATTTATATGCTGTCTATTGCTGATGATCGCATTATTTTTCAGATGCATCTGTTTTTACATGAGAGATCGCTAGTTTTTCCGTCCTGTTCACGTGTGTTTTTGTTTGGGAGGTTTTGTACTCGTTCAGAAGATGTGTAATAGTGCCCCCGAGTGTATAACAGTGAAAACATGAAAAGCCGTAAAAACTTTGGCGGGGAAGCGTTTTCTTTTAAAAGACGAGATAACTCGTCAATGGCGGGGAAAGAGTTAATTTTGAATCTTTAATTTGGTCTTTGGATTTAACTGTCTTAATGCATTAAAGGGTTAGTTCACTCAAAAATTAAAATTAGCCCATAAATTACTCACCCTCAAGTCATCCTAGGTGTATATGACTTTCTTCTTTCAGACGAATCCAGTCGGAGTTATATAAAAAATTGTCTTTGATCTTTCAAGCTGTTTAATGCCACTCAGCGGGTGTTGCATGCCTCAGTCCAAAAGAAGTTAAATGAAAAGCGTCCATCCATAAAAAAAAGTGTCTCACGGGGCTCCGGGGGATGAACAAAGGCCTCCTGTAGCGAATCGATGCGTTTTTGTAAGAAAAATATCCATATTCAAAACGTAATAATCACTTTAATGTAGCTTGCGCCAACAGTTGTACACGGAAGCACCGCTTGAAAGATCAAAGACCATTTTTAATATAACTCCGACTGGATTCGTCTGAAAGAAGAAAGTCATATACACCTAGGATGACTTGAGAGTAATTTATGGGCTAATTTTCATTTTTGGGTGAACTAACCATTTAAGCCACGTTCCTTTTAACAGGTTTCTATGGGGACAAAACTCTTGAACGCAGAAATGTTGTCTTTCCATTTGGATTATAGCCTACTGCCATTATCTTAGCAATATATGGTGCTTTCAAGGGAACTGTGAATTGGTTGCTCCTGGTTGTTGTTTTACAAGTTATTAGCACTTCTTCTAAATAAAACTGTCAGTTCATTGATTAGCTAATATATTGCAGTGTAATTTTACTCATCATATTGTTGTCAACATATTCTGACCATTTAAACAAGATTAGGAAATATTCTGGGATTTGGAGGTGGCTAAAATGTTACAGTACTGTTTTTTTCCCTTTTTGCTCAAAACAAAATAAAAATACAGCCATTTATAGCATGTAAGACATTTCACAAAATCACACATAGAACTGGCAAAAGTTACTGCAGAGGACACGATGCAGACATCACGTAACTCGGCACCGAAACCATTGCTTTAGCGCTGAGTCTATTTTTGCTAGGCTGCTCACATTCAATTAAAGTGACAGCACACTTTTGATGAAAAAAAAAAAGAAAAAGAAAAATGATTTCACACAAAAAGTGCTAAAAATGCACATAATAAGCATGTCTGGTGTGTTTTAACAAGAATTGGAGTATATCAGAACATAAAATGAAGAATCAAAAACATGTATAGAAGGACTTACCCCTTTTTTGTTTTTAATTATTCAGTTTGGTTTAAAACATGGTGTAATATATATATACAGGGCCTAAAATTAACACTCGCCAAGCGCCAAATGCGAGTAAAAATCAGCGTTGGCGCGTATATGTAACAGTGTCAGTCGGCAGGTACAACTTTTACGAATTATAACAATGCAATGAAGTAAAAACAACAGCCAGTTTTAAAAGAGATTAGCTGTTTCTGATATAAGCGAATAAAATAATCTTTTCCGAAAACAAGCTCATCGTGAT